ATATAAGGTGCTACGCTTAGGGAAGAAAACCAAATGCACAAATACAGATTAGGGGGAAACTGCTGAGAAGGATCTGGGAGTTGTGGATCACAACGTCAACATGAGTCAGCAATGCAATGCTGTTGCAAAAAAAAAAAAAGCAAATGCAATTGTACGTTGCATTAACAGAGGCATAACACGCAAGTCATGGGAGGTGACAGTACTGCTGTATTTGGCGCTGGTTAGACCTCAGCTGGTCTCCAGAGATGAGTGACAAAGATGATCAAAGGGAGGGAATGCAAGCCATATAAACAAAGGCTGAAAGAACTGGGTATGTTTAGTTTGGAAAAGAGGAGTTTAAGGGGGGATATGATAGTGGTCTTCAGATACATGAAAGGCGGCCATAAAAAAGATGGAGAAAAATTGTTCTCTTTTGCCACAGAGGGCAGGACAAGAGACGATGGGTTCAAACTACAGCACAGCAGATTTAGATTTCCTAACTGTAAGAACAGTAGGACAATGGAGCAGACTGCCTAGGGAGGTTGTGGAAGCTTCTTCACTGGAGGTTTTCAAAAGGAGGTTGGAGCCATCTGTCTTAGATGGTTTAGACACAACAAATCCTGCATCTTGGCAGGGAGCTAGACTAGATGACCATTGCAGTCTCTTATAACCCTATGATTCTATTACTCTAAACAGATTGAGTGTTGATGAGGAATTTGCTTTCACTTGTATGCATGTGAAATCTACTCACATGTTATTTATATTCCACCATGGGGAGAGGAGACAAACACTGAGATTTAACTTGGGAGGATTTTACCCTATAGATTGATGCAAAAGGAGACAGCACTCTTCACAGTCTCCTGTGGTCCCATGTGACCTCCTCTCTCTCTCTCTGTAGTTCTGTCCATCTCTCTTTCTCTAATTTGCCTCCAGCAGAAGTAGTAAATACTCTTGTCAAACTCACAACCCTGTCAACATTGATGGGAAAACATTCCCGGTACACAGTAATGGAGGTGTGAGAGCAGCACACAGCCCAGGGCCGGAAGGCGTGGAGGTTTCCTGTGTTTCTGGCCATATTCTAAGCCCTGACAATCATGCACAAACAGTTTTTTAAAAATACATGCCATTCACAATACCAACTCTCAGCAACTGTGGTCGAATGAAGTTAATTAACTCCTGTACTTCCAATTATGCATAGAACCAAGAAGAAAGGTGCAAGAGATGTCTTGGGGATATCAGACCCCTCTCCTGCTTTTAATTTCAGAGTGGCCACATAGTAAAAAACCTGTGGAACAGGCTGAGCTGAAACTGGGCTGCTTTTGGGAGGATAGTGGTTTTGATTATTGTTTTAATTCACCTTTCATTTGGTCAATGAGTAGGTAAGAACACCCAATGGGTACTCCTAAACTCTGTTTTCCCTGGCTTTTCCAATGGCTTGGGGAAAGAGTGGTTGAAAAAGTTGGAGGGAAGAGCAGAAGTTTCTAGGCAGGATGGGAGTATTGTTTGTAGTCGTCTTTGACCAGCTGCGTGTGAACTGTACATGCAGTTTTCATTTTGCACCGAGACCACGGTAAAGGCACTTTAAAAACCATTAACAGAGACACTGGAAATATTCATAGTGAAGGGGGCAGAATTAACACTAATGCTGAATCAGCTACGTTTAAAATTTGTTTTCAGAGGAAAATTACTCGCTATTATCTTAACATTGTACAGTAATTTCCCAATCACCCCCACCCTCAAAATGACATATCATCTATGACACACAGTAAAAAGAAGAATTTGGAAAATTGTCCTTTTCACCGTCTGACCCCATTTCCCCCTCTCTAGATGCATCCTGGATCATCACCTATAGCTCCTTGGTCCTAGACCAGGGGTCAGCAACATTCGGCACGTGGCTCGCCAGGGTAAGCACCCTGGCGGGCCGGGCCAGTTTTATTTACCTGCTGACGTGGCAGGTTCAGCTGATCGCGGCCCCCACTGGCCGCGGTTCGCCGTCCCGGGCCAATGGGGGCGGCGAGAAGCCGCGGCCAGCACATCGCTCGCCCGCGCCGCTTACCCTGGCGAGCCGCGTGCCGAACGTTGCCGACCCCTGTCCTAGACACACTTTCCAATTTTTTCCTTATATTTCAGTTGCCCTCACTTGCTAACATTGTTACATTTCTCCACAGCCTAGAAACAGACACATCTCCAAGTTTGTTTTTGGCCAGATTCAACGAGCTACTTAACCATATGCCTAACTTTAAGCATGTGCTTAAGTAACTTGCTGAATCAGGGCAATTGGCACCCTGCATGTTCACCTTCTTTTCCATTTCCAGTATGTACAAACATGCAATTCCACTAGTGCACTCACACATACCTGTTTCAACTAAGAGTCCCATTTTACCTTCACATTCAGAATACACACAGACATGGGTCTCAGAACCACAGCTATTGCACATGCACACTCAAGCATAAGAGTGGCAGATCGTCCAAGGAACCCAGAATTTCATGTTCTAGAGAAAAGAACTAAAATTAACTGAGCCTTCTTCCCCTTGGGTTTCAGTATATCTGTTTACATCACAGGGAAAGGTAACTCAATTAGTATCTCAATTGGAGAATGGACTGGAAAACACTAATCCTCACCCTTTCAAGCTCTTAGAGTCAACTGTGTACATTATCAACACAAGTAAAAAAACAAAAAAAACCCTCTCTTCCTCCTCAACCATGCCTGCCAGATCCCTCTCAACCTGCAGGGTGAAAGACAGCTTCTCTGTCTTTACTCTGTGCGTCTTTCAAGTAGCGACAGCTCACTTTACTCATCTGTGCAAATACACTGTGAAGTGTTTTCATCAAAAGAACCCTAAAGCAACTTATAATTCACAGACAAAAAGGGAGGCAAACACTTGGAGATGTGGCTGTTATTTGGTTTAATAAACACTTAACTCAAAAACTTTTTTTTCCCTCTGGACCACCACAAAACGATTTTGCAACCTTTAATGGCATGCCAGACATTTCAAGCATGAAGAAAATGCCACACTGCTGAATAAAAAGGAGGAGAAACTCTTTCTGCTTGAGTGGATGAGAAAGCTGAAAACAGGGTGTTTACTACAAAGAGGGGAAAAAAGAATACAGCTGAAAAGTGGGCCAGATAGGTGGAGAACTTGGCTGTTAATTCTCAGACCACACCGGGACTTGCTGACCAAATTTTTTTTTATAGTTATTACAGTCAGGTGGTCAGACTTGCAAGAGACAATTAATGTCAGCACAGAACTGCTTGTGCTTGTTTGCAGTCGGACAAGCGGCACACCCTCAACTAACAGGGCATGGCAAGCATTGCTGAACTACAGTAAAATGCAGTCTCATTGAAATTAAAGTTGGAACGGAAAAGACCTATTAGTTCATCTTGTCCCATCAATAAAGGATTGTTCCCTATAGTCTCATTCTTCCAGTGCTTTATCAGCAGCACAACAAGCCAGAGGTAGGTCACAGGGCTGCAGCCATTCCATTATCGCAACTCCAGCCGACACGACCTTCTATAACCCCTTTGTAGGGATTCTAGATCGCTACGTCCTTGGTCATCACACTCTTCTCTGTGTAAACCTATTGAGAGCCAGTGCAGCGCATCCAACCTTTATGTGCAGAGCCTTTGGAGGCCCCCAGTGCTGCCTTTGGGCCCACATAGCTCCTCCACACAAGGTCCCAGAAGGGGCGCTGTTGTGCAGAAGGCCTCTGCAACAGGTGAAAATATGGGAGAGATTGCTCTAGAAGGACCGCCATTGTGTTCGTCTAGCATTTGGCACAAGGAGACCCTGATCAAGCTTGAGACTTGTGAGCACTACAGTGATTTAAATAATAAAACTGAAGGACAATAATAGTAACACCAACCAACAAAAGAGTTTAAGCTGAGGGAGGGGGAAGGTACTGTAAGACTCAATGCCTCATATCAGTTAGTCTGATGGAATATGAAGAAATCCACTTACCACAAATGCTACCACACTCCTTAGTGTAGATTCCCAGAGAAAGCAGCTCCTTAGGAATTGTATTGTATTCCATATCGCCATGGTGATTTTTTTCACACGATCAACATTTCTCGATAAGATCTGGTAAATGTCGGACGGGAGGGGAGAGAAAGGAATGTAATTAAATGCTCCAATTTCCTACTTCACTTCAAGAACAGTGACAATTTTAAGCTACAATTGTTTTGTGCTTGTATGTATGCTACAGCTTCTATTTCAGAGACACACTCTAGCTACCGTGTGTTTTTGTATGACACCCAAACATGTCAGCACTTTCCTCCACCCCCAAAATCTGCAAGTCTGAAGGAAAAAGAATTGAAGCTTTTTCCCCCGCCACAAAAAAACCCCACAAACCTTTATTGCAAAATCCTATAGAATTTAACAGAAAATAAGACCCTTTCCATAGGGGTTTGGGCTATCTCCATATAGAATTGAATAAAAAATTATATTCTTGCTATAAATGGTTAAAATAGCGAGAATATTAGTCTCAATTAAATACTATAGACTTTTATAGTAATTGATTTAGAACCTTATTAAATTTCTATAGTATCTTATTGTTTTTCTTTATTCTTTGAGGATGAAACCAAAGTATAGGTTTTTGTTTCAAATTCCATAAACTGTGCAACATGCATATATGTTAAAGTTCTTTATTAAGCCATTCTTTTCCCTCCAGAAATTGGGGAGATGTAGGAACACAGAGATAGATCAGGAAGCAACTGTGTGTGAATGCAAATCAGCATTTATACACATGCAAAAATCTACACAGAATTGACATCTGTGTTCAGTGAGTCGATGCATAAATAGAGTTTCCACCACAGGTTCTATCATCCGGGTGTACTAGTGAAGCTACTGAAAAGCCATCCCAAACAGAAGTGATAGCTCGGCCCAGAATCAACCTACCTTCTTTGAAAACTTGCGGTTGTCTCCAATGAAGCGCTTTTCTCGTGGCTTGAAGGTTCTGATACTTGCTTTTACCTGAGGAAGGAATAATTTATTTAGAATGTTACCATTCAAGCTCAGGTATCATCATATTGATTTGGAGCTCTGGTATCCTTTACTTATTTATTTGTTTCAGTCTCTAAATGGTTTATGACAAGGTGTTAGGTGTACATATCAGTTATTCTGCACAATCCTGGCACTCATCCAGGTTACTCCAATAGATCTAACTGCCTGCAGAGTGGCACACTGCAGGGTGTGAGCAGCTCCATGTTAAGCTCAGCACACAGCTCAGCATACTCCCTTCGGTTCCTCTGTTGGATCAACCCCATACAGAAAAGTTCTAAAAAAAGAAACGGGAACTGAAGATCACATCCCCAAATGTCCTATTCATGCTGCGTAATTAATACTAAGGTATTAGAAGGGACATCCAAGAACAACCGAAAGTATTTTACACTCCTGTAACACCCTTAGCCACTTAAGCCAGATTGTGATTTACTTATTCATGCTGAATACTCCCTTACTCTAATAATAGGTCCACTGAAGTCAATGGAATGACTCATGGAGTAAAGTGCTACCCAAATATGAGTAATGGTATCATAATTTAGCCCACAAAAAGTAGTATCTTAGCCATAGGTAGGAGAATGATCAAGTGGACATGGCACTGGCTCTGTCACAAACTTTTGTGTGACCTTGGTCTAGCCTACTTTGGCCTTAATAGCCCATCTGTAAATTGGAAACAGTACCTTCCTATCTTACTGCGGTGTTGTGTAAATACAATAAACTAAAGATTATAAAGAGGTTCCCAGACACTACAGTGATGGCTAATAGATACTTAAATAGGTAGATTCCAGTCTATCTGAAAAAAGGAATGGCCTGGGAACATCTTTGAAAGTCTCCGGAAAAGGGGAGCCATAATATATTGGAGCTTGTTCTTTGGCAAAGAGTGTTGATCATTGTTCCCTATAGCAACATCCCAAACCTAAACTCCATTCAAGGCAAAAGAGTACCTATCAGCCATTTAAATAAATAAAACTTTGCTTCCTACATCACTGTAATAAGTACCTAGTAAGAGCTGAGTTACATTCCATCCAGCAACAGCGAATGTAAAACAGAATTTAATTCAGTAAGAGATGGTGGGACAAGCAAGCTGAGACCACCACATCCATGTCTGAGTTTTTGTTCCTGTTAACACCCTCTGAATAGGATATTGTGGGTCAACTTTCTGGGAAGAATTAGTAGTTAAACTTCCTGCACAGTAATGTAAATATTAACTCCCTTTTTTGTTGCTGCAAATTAAGCCCTTGCGTGCAATAACCCACACCTCTTCCCAAAACATCTGTGGTCATCCCCAGCCCAAAGTTGCCATTTCAGTATCACATCAGCTTGGATGGAATGTTGCAGCATTGTGATCTGCCAGTATTTCTTTATAAAAAGAATAAAGCCCAACCTTCCCTCCAGATGCAACCAGGTCAGGACCTTCTCCGTTCAGTTCCTGTGTTTAAAAGGCCAAACCCCTTGGCACTGGCAAGTTTAGGCGTTCCAGTTTCTTATACAGAGGATGAGTTAAGTGAAAACATTTAAACTTACTGGATTAAATAGGACATCCAACTCCAAGCAAACTACTCCTTTTGAAGCAAGTTCCAGGTCTTTATTCTTCAACGTATAACAACACTGCTGTCCATTTCTAATCTAGAATTATAATAAATAAATAAATAATAAAGTGTATCAATAAATATTAACTCTCTGCTGTGTCTAAAATAGCTTTCCAACCACTGCCCTCCTCCAGAAAAGATGACAATATAGTAAAAGCCTGAAATGCAACATGATCACTGGATTAGAGGACTATAAAATTGCAGATTAAAACTATTACAGTCCAATTTTAATTTACAGACCCTGTACTTTTATAGCAGAGCAGTGCAAACAATAACCAGCCTGAAAATTCTGTCCTGGAAGCCAGTGAGTTGATGGGAAGTAATCAGCCTGTGTTATTACAGATTTAAAATGGAAGTTTTCTTCCAAAGATCAGAAAAGGAAACACAACAACAACAAAATCAAAATACCAAATCTCCAAATTCTCAGTTTATTGAAAGGTTGTCAAATTATTAGCCATAGATCAAAGAGAGTCCAAATCAATCAATCATTACAATTGGAACGAATGTTAATGTAACAAATGTTCAAAATAAACAAATTCCTGTAAGAGACTTTCCCCTTAGAATTTCAGATGCTGTTTCTATGCTCTAATCTGCCTGTTGGCCCTGTCATGTTAAATAGCTATGAAAAAACCCATCTCCTTTACCATTTTGCAAACTATTTGGCTCAAATCAATGGCATCCTCTCTTCAAAAGTGATGGCAGAAATGTATTTATTATACACAGTAGGATATGTATTGATTAAACATTTGGCTTTTTAGGAAGCGGACCAGCTAATTCTAAACAGCACCGATATAAAAACTGCAGCTCACCGAAAAAATCTCCATTTGGGGACTGTAATGATCAAAGATTAAAGATAACAGAGGAAATTTGGGGGCATGAAATTGCAACCATATTTAAAATAGCTATTGCTGTCGTGGCATTAATTTAGTACAAGTGCTCATACAAGCCACGGTGGAAATGGATAAGGAATAAAAGGCACAAACGGGAATGCAGTGTTTTCACAGGACAAGGGAAAGGTCACTTTCTTTCCCAATGCTGCTCCACCTCCTCTGTACTGAATAGTTTTTCAACAGATTGATTCCTTTCCTGGCTAACAGTTAAAGGAAAGAGGACCCCCTTAAAGAACATGTTTGCATCCTCAGTGGGATCCAAACAGGAATTCCAGCTTCCACTAATGCAGTCATCCAAAGCTTCACCTGATAGGATGTTTTGGGGTTGGTATTGTGTGTTTCATTTAAATAAAAAAAAAAAGGCACAGTGTCTGATTTTAGATTGATTCTGCTTTCATTAAATGAGCATTTCAAACCACATATATGTGGAACCTACATGGGATACAACACAAAAGGGGTACCCTCCATGAAAGCAGCTCCTTCTAAGTTGACAACAAATATGATGCCACTTCACAGCCCAACGGTTTCAGACAGTGCTGCCAAATCTGGACCTGTAGGTCGTCTCTCAGTACAACAGAGCTACTAGTGCTAAGGTGATGTTTATTCCTCATATTCCAAGAATATATGGCTGGAATGTAAGCGCTTTATGCTGATTAACAGCTAAAGCTGATCAAATAGTGGAATTTCTCATCTATTAAAAATATGGATATTTTGAGGTTTGGTCCCAATTCAGGACAAAGTCAAAATATCACTTTTTTTTTTTTTTTTTTTATAATTAAAAAAAAATAAAAAATTTTTTTTTTTTTTTTTTTTTTTGCAGAATGAAAAGTTCTGAAAAAATTTGATTTGGAAATGTCAAACCAAACATTTCAACATTCCCAAACTAAAATATTTGTAGATCAGAAATGAAACAATTTGTTTCAATTTTTCCAATTGGAAATTCCACCAAACTCAGTCTTTTTTCTCAGAAAATTTTAATTGCAACCAATTACCTCTTAAAAAACAAAAACAAAAAACAGGACAATGTTTTGTTTAAAATTTTTCAACCAGACCTACAAAACAGACATATGATAAGACTTAAAGCACTGTGGGAAGTCAGGATATCTTCTCTTTTGACACAGTTCACGATGATGCATATCACAGTTTTCACTCACCTCTGCTTTTTAACAGGAAACTTTCATGTATTACATCTGTCATTCCCTCCATAAACCCACCCACATCAATTCTGGACATGATACCAATTCTATACTCACTCCTCATACCCAGCTGATACAAGAATCTGGGGCAGATTAATAGCAGAAGGATATTACACATGGAATCTTAGGCATTCTAGCTAGGGAGACAGCACAAATAAATGGCTTCCCAAGAGACTCTAAATCTGGTTGAACAAGGCCTGCAACCAATGGCAACCTCAAATCTGTAGATACAGTCTTCCAAGCAGCCTATCTACTCTAGTCCACCAACCAATGATTGTGTTATATCTCCTATTCTGAAAAATAAACAAACTTCCATAAAGCTCAGAGAACTGATCATCTTCACATTTTTCTTCCTTGATAATATTATAAATCAATCAAAATCCACAAAGTAGTCCAGATGGATTGGGTTCCTGGCAAATAACTCTTGCAGCCTGTTAGCCTGGAGAACACTCTGGTTAACATTTCTGCAACAGGTAGAAGGAATGCTGCTGAAAACAACTTCTCAGAGATGCACATGTGCACACACATGTAGCTCAGGTAACTCAAAGAACAATTCAGACTTTAATGTACGTCAGTTAATTTTGTGCTTATTTCACATCAAGAGCTAAAATGAATTGGATAATTAAATTATATATGTTTTAGTGATTTTCTGCATCTTTCAGATACACATTCCTCATAGCTCTTCCTCTGTTCCTAGTGGGGGAAAACATCCTTGACAATAACCTGGTGAAGAGTTCTCTTTATCTGTCCTTGGTATATATTAGTTAATTATCCATTTCAAAAATCTAGATGGGGAAAGCATCAAACAGAGTAGTACCACATGTGGCTAAGTAGAAACATGCAGTACTATGACAGTAGCTTTAGCTAGATCTACTGGGTTTGATTCTGGCATCACGCCATTTTACACCACAACAAATTCCATTGATTTCACTCCAGATTTGTACAGTGAGAGCAGAATCAAATGCAGTGGGTGTGGCTCCATGTGTGTTAGTACAGCAAGTTTGGAACCAACAATGAATTGATGCCCATTGCAATGAACTATGGTATCTGAGAGAATGTTTCGGCTTGGAAGACCTTTTTAAAAGCTACAAATGTGTTTTTAAAGGTGAGCACCATTACTCTTATACTTTACTTAAAATTGTATTGGGAAAAACAACAGTTTTGTTGGAAGTGTTAACAGTCAGTTTTATTTCTTATTCTTAATTCTGTTCGGTTTATGTAGGGGTTGATGTGAAATTATAGTTCAGTCCAACACTAAACATTCATATTGATTTCCTAGTTCCCTGACCTTCTTAAGAAAAAACAGAGGGGGCGGGAAATTGGAAATAAAGTGGCGTTTCTCCACCTTACGTCTTTTATTGAATACAGAGTAAAAAAACCTGTTTAATGCACCAGTAGCACACTAACCCAGTTTGCTTCAACAAATGCAGTGGGGAAGTTCAGTACATTTGACCATATAGCAATAAAAAGGTAGCATTCCTCAGAAGTACACACACAAAAAAACGCCCAGGTTAGCTTTCGCTACAGTACATTTCCATTGCATTAATTTCTTGAGTCATACTTTTTCTCCCTACATTTGTTTCTGTTTCAATACAGCACATTCTCACCAAATATCTAAAGATGGCCAATTCTTTTGCATTTCATTTGGGGTCCACTTTTTCCTCATACCTCTGCTGTTCATGGCCATTGGCAAACATTCCCTTTAGCTACAGGAAATGTGAATGGATGTTACACCAGAGTCAGACAGAAAGTATCTCAAAGACTGATTAAATCTGATCTACCATTGTGTCACCGCAACTACAATCACTTTTGCTTTGTGCCTGGTATCCCAGGGATTTCATTCAGTAATGAGTTCAACAAATGGTCTCTGTAACATGACTTGTCTCTAGCCAGGCTATCAATGAATACTGAATATTACAGCTAGGTGAAAAGGAAGGGAATACTTTTTACACAGACACACTTCTGATCTAAATTTGAACAGGGCTGAGGGTAGGACCTTTGAAGAGAGGTGGTTAAGGCTACTCCTTAGTGACACTATGCTTTACACCTTGATCAGATCCCACGATGGAATGCCCACATTGTTCGGGAGAGCTGATCGTGTGCAAGATTGCCTGTAACAGATTGATTTAACACCGAGGGCAGGAAAGTCTGACTTATTGATTTGCTCCTTTTTGTAAGGTCTGAGGCCAGATAGGATGGTTTTTCCTAGCACTGTTTGGTTTCAGGTAGATGGATGTGCTATAAGAAAAAGAATCCAACATCTTCTCAGCTAGCTCTATGTAAAGACACAAAGTAATGACCAAGAAAAGCTATAAACAGAAAATGTGAAGAATTCTCAGAACCAAAAGATTTCTTCAATATGACGTACCTCCTCACCCTACTGTTTATATCTCTTATTAGGAGAATTTTTTTTCTTTATTCCTACAAAATTTATTCAATGGTACAGCTCAGAATACCTGCTGTTTGCTTTGCCCAAAAGTTCCTGTGTGCTTTTTTTGTAAGCTGTTCCATCAAAAAACAAAAAAACCTAGGCGCGGACACACAAAAAACAACCCACAAAAAAATCTTCTTTCATATCCATAAAGCCTCTCCCCATATCCTCATCCAAATGCGTCTGACATCCTTGTCATGATGCATACAGAAGAGTCATCAGATAATGATAAGGCAGGGGGCAAGTTGTGATTACTACAATTACTGATACTGATGCTAGAACTTCCTCCTCCCCCGGCCCACACCCTTGGTTGCTTCACTTGCAGGTAACATCTTGCCTTTTAGTTTGTTAGCTTTATGAGGCAGGGACTGTCTCTTACTCTAGATTTGTACAGCACCTAGCACACAGGGCCCTAACATGACGGATGCTGCTTGATACTACCGCAATAGTAAATTATAAGAAGTCATATAATCATTAAACTTAATAATTCTTCTCAAATTCCATATTCCCCTTCCAGCCT